ATCGGATCCGGGAGGCTGAGACTCGAAGTATAAATAATTTCGGGCATAGAACGCTGTTTATTTAATTTATTCGGCCCACGCGGAGATGAGCTTAATTATTCACGATGGAAAAATCTCTCTGTTGACCACTTTTGTGGACCGACCCGAATACTTGACGGTTTTAGCTTGACGGGCATCACCGCGTTAGATGTGAACGTTCATTGATTAATGAAAAGATATTTTTATACCTTATACTTGTATCTTAAAAGAACAAATTTTTTTATCTTGAGTGTAAACTTGATCCTTAGGTTGAAACAAATCACTAAAAACAGAGGAAAAACTTGTTTGTTACTTCCTAATAAAAATAAGATACAATCCTTTAACGAAACATTTAACGTAAACGTTGTCAAGCTTGATATGACGCAATTTTTCGCACTAAAAGTTTTTCTCTATACTGTCAGTGTACTTTTCAATACATTTATTGCTCTGGAGATAAAAATATATCTGATGTTGTTTTTTTTTGTCATGGTACAAGCTCTTAAATTCCGGGGCAACAATCAGCCACAATAGCAGGAGCAAAGTCCATGAAATATGACCTCAGGATATACATTCCGCAAAGTACACGTCCGACCACACAAGTGTGAGCAACACGCTAAATTACAACCAGCGAGACAAATCGGCTTACGAGTTCTCTCTCTCTCTTTCTCTAGAGTCTCATTATCCATTTCCGCGTCACAGGGGGTGACGACAAAAAGCTGTGGCTCAGCTTCCGCTCGTTTGCCTCGCGCGTGAGCCCGTAAATAATAGTGTGCCGTTCGATGGATCTCGAGACCAGTGTCTAGAGATCTTCGACGAGAGATCTGCCGGTCGCTGCTTTGCTTGCTCGAGTTTATAATGTTTGACTTGGCTCCGGACGTGTGTATGCATAGTTGTGTATATTTGCACAGAGTCCGCACGAGACGGTGGTGCTTGCAAAGGAGAGTAGTTTGCGTTGAGCTTGCACAAGTGTATTTTTATCCGTTGCTGAGGTTTTTGTCTCGAATTGCTTTTCTCCCAATGTGGGCTCCTGAAAATCATTTTAACCATTTTTCCGGAGATTATACTTCCAGTGTGAAAAATAATCGTACGTCTCACGGGTGGATTTCGAACTTTGTTTTAACTTTGCGGGTCTCTTGAAAAATATGTGAAAATCGCAGAAAAAGGATTCGGAAAGTCGATCGCGCTCGTAACTGTAAAAGTTGATTGAACGCAAAAGGAGGAAGAAAAAGGAGTCGGAGCTCAATGATTATCTGCTCCTGTGACATTTTTGTCCTTTATCGTGAAAAATATGATACGGGATCACGTACAGATACGTGACGGTTATCAAAATTCGAACTTTCGTAATAAACATTGGATCGTGCGTCATCGGAAAATAACAGTTCAAAACTTTCTTCGTCTTTGCAGATAACACGAGTTTCCCAATTCACCGGTGATTAATCACCGTCAGCGCGGATATCTCGAGCAAATATAAAAGGCCTCGAGGAAATTATTGCCCACTCGGGCGACGCTTATCGCTCGGCAAATAGAGTCCCAAACTTCTCTCTTTCTCTTGGCCGATAACCGATTAAACTCAAAAAACATCGCGGCAGCAATTTTTCAAAGCCACCGGAGCGCGAGCCCTTCTCCTATGTAGGCAGAGCCCCGAGAAATTCGGCAGAGAAACGCGTCAGCGAAAGAGTCTATCCTCCCCCCCCCCCCGAGTGCTTCCATCGCGGAAACTTTGGCCGCCACTGCTGCAGTGAACGAAGCCTGCCACCCTAAAGCCGAACTTCTGCCTGAGATTTATCACCGGGGGGTGGAGGGCGCAAGATTCGCCGCGAACAAACGACTACTACAGCCGGCCTCCCCGGCCATTAGGTGTAATGAAGTGTGGCCCGTACGATAATACCCTGATTAAGTTAATTACGGCCTCTCTCTCTCTCTCTCTACTCGCGTCGTCGTTCGGCTATAGAGAGCTCTGCTAGCTGAAATTTAGATAGCTCTTTTTCCCCCTCTCACTCTCTCTTTTCGTTTCGCGGCAGACGAGAACAATCTCATAACGGGTGAGTGAATTTTGTAGGTTGATGCTTGGGAGTTACCTGGATTTAGAGGTGTGGCGGCGAGTTATAGTGTACAATGGCTTTTGTGTGTTTGTTTATAATTAAAAGAATGTTTTTTGCATCGTGATTAGGTCAATTTAATAGGTATTACGTGTTTAAATTATTTATTTGATCTTTAGATTCGATTGGATGGTCATCAGTAGAACAAGTCAATATTAGGTCAGACCGCGTTTGAGAAGAAAGATTGCATGAGATGAAAGTAAATAATTAAAACAACTCACACGTTTTACGAGAAAATTTAATATAGCTATTGCAAATTTTAGTCTTTACTTCATTGGTATTGAAAATACTTGCAATTATTGTGCAGAAATAAATTCAAAATTAGGACAACATGACATGGGAAAGGGAGCAGAGATTGATTGTACGCATTTTGGAACTACTCGAATATTTTGACATTTCTTAACAAAAAAAAAAAACCTTCCAACACGAGGGAAAGAGTAAAATAAGTACAGTAACGATCCTTCGTTGACACAAAGACGGCCACGATGCATGTATGCATTGCGGTTTCAGTTCGTTGGAAGGAAAAATATTCTTTGCGCGCTGATACACACGCAAACGCGCCCGGCAAGCAGCAACTGCATTACACACACGATGACGTTAACTCACAGAACGAGAGAGCTTTGAGCGATTTTCGCGGCCTCAAACGGAGAAGGTAGCGCGAGGCCTCTCAACAACCTTTTTCTTTTTTTTTCCATTGTAGTGCACTTACTTTGAGGCGTGTGCCCTCGTGAAGCCTTTCCAATAATAGCCGCGTTATTCGACCTGGCATTTAATCCCACGCAAAAGAGCGCTTTTTGTCCTTTCCTTTCTTTTCCTCTGTTCGTTGCGTGGCTTTGTGAAAAAAAGCCAACGCCAGTGGAAAAATCGGAGCAGAGTTCTTGTTCGTTTTTATTGCGAGCCCCGGTTGAGTTAATAAACTCAAAGGGCTTGGAAGCGGAAACTGGGCGTATACAACCGGAGCGTCAATACGCGTTCAAGAATCGCGATAAAACTGGCTCTCCAGTGGAAGCCTGCACTCCGAACTTTCCGACGGTGGACACAAGTGATGAAGAAAAATGACGCTGGGCAATCTGTGGTAATTAGGGGGCAGGGGTCAATTGCTGCGTGAGGAATAAAAGTTTTTCACGACTTGCCAACAGCTTATTTCCGCTTTCGAGCACAAACACGTACCGGTTCAAGTTACGGAATACTTTTGCAATCGTATGGATAATTACGCCTGCGTTAGCGGTTGTAAGCTCGCGAGTGTTTCTTTTACCGTCAGCAATGAAATAAAAATATTTGAATACGCTTACGGTGAGGGGTAACTAAAATGTATCCAAAACGTTGGATGCGTGCAATTTTCAGAATTGTGCAAGTGCAAGGCACTAGTCTCTACATTTTCATAAACACAATTGTGAACTCACTCGAGAGCTCACTTTTTCAGCCCTGATCCTCTATTAAGATATCCTCGCAGTGACACCACGAGCAGCAGAAAAGATAAAAAAATAATAAAGAAAAAAAAAGCCAGGACTCGGATGTATCCATTTTTCAAATGACCCACAGGAGAGAGAAAAGGGAAAAACAGGGCTATAGCTCCAACGCGTGTCCGCAAAACGGCGCGGGCGAGCTTTCTCGTATTAATTTTTCGCTCCGACCCTCCCTCTCAGGTACTCCCTGCTGATGTTTTTTTGTCTGTGATATTCGTTTTTCTCATAATATACAGCTTTTTTCTAACCATGCAGTGGCTGTATTGAAAAGAAAAAAATTTTTTTATTTCCTCTTTGTTCCTAAAACGCAAGAATAATTAAAACGTTGGATCTGGGGTTGGAGTTATCACTGAATACCATTTTCCAGCCTAATTTTGCTATTGAAGCTCAAGTTTTTTGAAATTAGGGACTTTTTTTTTAATCATAATTATGCGTTCCTCTTTTCACTAAAAATTTTAATACCTTTGACTTACAAAAGAATTACACTAATCAACTCGTATGAAAAAAAAACTACGCTCAAACAGATACCTTTCAAGCACCTACTCGTGCCATTCTCCGTCCCCTCCAACGCATACGCGGAGTAAAAAATGTCCTAGCGCAAAAATAAAAGCTCTCACTCGAGTGCATAACTAAAATTTTCGAAAATGCTCTCACCAAATTGAGTTACGTCCTCCAGAGGCGGTAATACAGAAAATCCAATTAATTTCCCCCGCACAATGTCGAATTTACGTCGCGAGCCCTGTGTGGGCACACAGCCCGTAAAAGCCGCGAGGGGCCGAGCCGTAAATTACAACCACGCGACCATAAAAAGAGCGAGCTTTTTTCGCGGGCACGCAAGAGCGCGAGAGAACGATATTTTTTGGTTTACAAAATTGTAGAGTAATTCCCTGCCGCTCTACTCTCACGGGACCTCGTCGGCTCGATCGTAAACTTACTTTTTTCTCTCTCCTCTGCCTCTCCTCCTCGCGTTATCGCTCATGCTCCTGGAGATTACCCCGCGAGACTCTCTTTCTCTCCGTCATTCTCGTCACTAAGATGTCATACCTGACGCTCATCTGATTCCCGCTTCCATTTTTTCGTCCATGGCCATCACATTTTGATGCCTCGATTTTCGTTTCAATTAGTAAATAGCGTGCGATGGACTCATTTAGATTTTACACGCAAATATACTGCCTCATAAACATTGTAATATTTTTTTATACCGCCTCATACACAGGCAATTTTTAATAGCACGAATCATTTCTACTTTTCGGAAGAAAAAAAAAAATCGAGTAACATATCGCAGAAAGTAGACCAGCATTGTATACCCGTGTGAGCTAACGCGATTTTCGGAATCATCCACAGAGGTGTGAAAAAACTCACCGAGAAATCAAACTCAACTTGACAAAAAAAAAAAAAAAAAGACGATTCAACTCACCACAGACGCCTTGGTGCTTGACCCCGATCTCCTTGCGTTTCTGGCAGATGATTCGCCGTAGGTGGCAGTGGTTCTCGTAGGTGACGTCGTCCTGACCACAGATCGGCGCGTACGTCTCCGGACAGGCGTCGGGACACCGGCACATCGCTTGCCCGTCCAAAACGACGCAGGTCATGCCCAGCGCGCAGAACGTTTTCTCGCACAATTCTGTAAAATAGAGACGACCGAGATCGATTAGTCAATTTTGGGGACGAAAATTACGAGGGTTTCATTAGTATCTAATTGAAAAATTGAAATTTCTACGTGTTGTTTTAGTACAAGATATAATAAGTTTAACTAGTAGGTATAGGTGTACACATGTAACATTTTAGTCCGATAAGTGGGGTAGATTTACACACAAGTAGTTATATAGAGCAGAGTACAAAACAGATTGGGTATAAGGGTGCGATTGTCAACTATGAGGGTTCGTACTACGGGTGCAAAGTAAAAGTACACTTTGTTATTCGCTAACGACGCGATCGTATCGTTAGTTGTTTGGATTTATTGGACTTGTGTGGACTCGCGCGTTGTTACGGAGTTTGGATACGATGTTTACGGTGGTTGAGTTATGGGCAAATGTGATGTACTGAGAAAAAAAAAAGAAAAAAAAAACTTTTTATTTTCACAATTTCGCTGAATTTAACTGAAATGTTGTAAAAAAAATTGGGCTAGTCGACCACTCAAAGTTTATTTTTATAAAAAAAACCTCGCAGTCGAGGAAAGTTTTGCTCGTAAAGTGACGAGTTTCAAAAGCCACCGAGGCAAAAGGCTGGCGGAGCCCGTCCGATGCAGCTGATGGTTGAAAAAGTAAAAGCTTGTCCGCGTTTTCTCAAAACTTTGATGGATTTTCTCAGTACATCGAAAGATCGAGTTGCAGTGTGTTAAATAGTTTTTCACGCTACCCACGTGGCTGCGTTATTTTTACCTTTAAATTTCACACAAACGCCAAAATGTACGGGTTCGAGTGAAAATTTTTCTCTTCCACAAAGTACCCGCTGAAAAATTGATAAGACACACTCCCTTTTGCGGAGGATAAAAACCTTGGGCTGGGTAAAAATCAAAAATTAAAGCTGATCTCACATCATTCGCCGTCGTACAAAGCTCCCAGAGAAACCAAGAGCTTTTCGAAAAAAACCCTCGTTATTTATTTAAACAAGGAAAAAGTTGGAGAGAAAGAAGGAGTGCCGGAAGGTGCCCCTATTTCCTCGTAAGCGTGGCCGCGATCAATTTTCTTTTTCCCAAAGAAGCCGTAGCGTGACTTCTCCCGGGAACAAGGGCTCCTTCGGATAATCAGTGCACGCGCTCCGAGTCATTAATATAGAGCTCCCCTCTGCGAGACAGGAGGGGTTGAAAAAAAAAAAAAAAAGGACAACACACGGGCTGGGAAAAAATCGACGGACGCTCTTGTAGGGTCAGGCGCTTTTTTTGTTTTCCCCCGTCGCTCGAGCGGACCGAAAAATCTTTACCCGAGATATTTTCCGGAGTGAAGGATTACCCGCGAGAGATATTGGAGCGAAAAACTTTGCGCTCGCGCGCTCGTGTGTATATGGTACTGGGGGTAGGGGAGGAGGAGTGCAGTGGACGCGCAGCTCGCGAGCAAGTTTTTGATGAATGAGATCCGCGGGAGATTTGAATGGTTGGCTTCGCTTGGTACGGTGTATACGTGTTTAACCCGCGCGCGTTCCAGGGGAGAGCTCGAGTGCCGTTTATGGATGGGTATTTGTAAGTCGAGTGCTTTCGAAAGCTGTGAACGGCTGTGTGCGCGGATTTTCGCGCGCCGACTCGTGGATGGGGGACGAAGTTTGGCGGGAGTCAAGTGCGAGCTTGCAAATTTGGCGCGTCTATCGCTCGTTGGCCGATGCTGCAGTCGGAAAGTGCTTTTAACGCGTCAAAATTGTATTTCGCACGATGCATGATTTTGTAGCTGACGCGATCGGAACGGGCGTTACGAGGGATTTTCTTGGAAACAATGGTTTAGTACCGATACCGTACAGTTTTCGCGTCAGCCATTACTCGGGGTAATGGACGAAGCTGTTGTCGAATTCTATCGAGTTTCGGATGCTCGAAATTTCGGGATTTTCGGAATAGCACCGAGTCACTGCTGATACGCATAAATGCGATGGGACTCTGGTGCAATCAAACGTCGACGTAAATTTTGAAACAAAAAAAAAATCAGCCCTCCCTTTTCGAAAAGAAAAAAACGGTAAAAACTCGAGGATGACTGTTGTCAAATAGCTTTCCGCAAAAAAAGTCCACATCGAGCCAGTCAATATTTATTTTCCGTACGGAATAAAAATTTCATCCTCCCGTCGAATCCCTTTCGCGATATTTTTCCCCGCCCCCCCCCCTTTTTTTTATTCTCCATCCAGTCACATCTATACCCACAGGGCAAATACGCCCACACAACTGCACGCACCAACAAACTCCTACGCCCATTGACTCCCGATACATCGACGCGGTGTACACACTTTTTTCCGGCAGAGATTTTCCAATACCCACCTTCGAGCCTTCCCTCGTGTAGGCACACACCGTCCCAAACACTCCCAAAGTCATGTAAATCCCAGCAGTGGTGGCGGTCGATTTTTTCCTTGCCAGCACAGAAAGAGACTCCCTCTCTCTGCATAAACATCCCCCGGTTGAATGGTAGTCGCGTACGCGCGTCGTACATGGTGTACACGCAGTGTATCCGCACAAGAGGTAGCATTCCGAGGTGGTGTGTGCACACATGGCAGTGTACACGGCGTCTGATCTCAAGAGCGAGTGGGTTGCATGACGTTTGGAATCTCGATACGTCGCGCTGAATGCTATGCGGGGGGGAGGAAAAAAAAAAAAAAAAAGCGAGACCGTCTTTTGACACGCAAAAGTGTACGCGCGGGTACGACTCGGGTACACGTGAATGCAGTGCTTTTGCCGAGGTGGAGCTTAAATGGAGTTTGCGTATCGTGTGCCACCCGAAGCTAGCTCCTGTGCTTGGAAAGCACACGTGAAAGGGATCCACGAGCTTGTAAGTATCACGCGTGTACTGCTTGCTTCTGAAACGTGATTCGTTGGTTGGGGTGGCGGGAACGTTGGAATACGGTGTACCGGTTGGAGTGTAATGGCTTTCTTAAGATTTTTAAATGATAGATGATTGCTGCGGACAAATAAAAGGGAAATCTTGTTTAATTTATACGTTAAGAGAAAAAAATAATAAATGTCATAGACAAATTCCAACAGCGATTACCATTCCGCATAGTAAATCTGATGCAAGGTGGCAAAAGAGGAATCATTATTATTTTTAACAGTCAAAAATTATCGTTTTTAACAGTTAAAATTACGTAAAGTAAACCTTGAAAGTTACTGTTCTAACCATAATTTTTACTGTTAATACAACAATCTTTAATATAAAAAATAATAATTTTTTCTTTTTTACCAGCTTGCGTCCGACTTACTGTACTGAATGATAATTTTTGCTGGAATTACTCTATAGTTTTTATTATTTTTCTCTCTCAATGTACTGACAAAAAAAGTACACCCAATGAAACATATAGACCTGTAAAATGTACATATAGAGATAAATATGATTAAAACAAAAACAACAACAAAAAATAAAGAAGAAAAAAAAAAGGGAAACAAATTACCAATCGAGGAGGAAGGTCCCGTCAAATCAATCACGCGCGCGCAGTCACACGTGGGAGACAAACGAGGAAAGCGCAAACGCTTAATTATACGCTGCTATGCTCCCCCACACCCCCGCTGGATTCCCTCTGAATATGCATTTATACGCGTACACGCGAAGCTAATCAAAGCGACACGGCATGACTCGTTTCTTCCACTTCTGCGTACAGCATAAATAACCAAACTACGTTGCGTCGCTCTCGTTCAACTGTATAGAGTATATATAGCTGTCGTAGCAGTGATGGTACAAATTATAATATATATATTATCACAAAATTTCAATATAAAATATAATGATTTCATTTGATTTGATTTGATTGCACTTTATTGAGGCCTTGTGGCTTTGCCATGTCTGTTAACAATTTTAACAATGTATAGTTTCAATATAGGAGGGAAAAAGTGATCAAGAGAATAGATTAGTGCCAAACTTTGTTCTCATCGTAACAGCAAAATCATCTCGTATGGCGTTGTTGTTCTTGTTTTCATTGTCGAGTCCATAATACACATTTCACTAACTTTACGTACAGGTAATACACATAACTGTATAGGGGTATAAAGAGCTTAGTTTTGCTGCGTCACCGAGTGTATACCCCGAATAAGCCAGAGAGTGTGGAAGCCCATTAAGTATACGGCAGCGCGTCGCGTGGCAGTAGTTAGGGTCAACGCTCGGGTCAGCCCGATCGTATCGAGGCGGTGGGGTTGGTCTCTCGAGTCGCTGCCGCGTCGGCACCACTCGTCGATGGCTCTTTGGCCTTTGAGGGTACAATATACAATTGGAGGCGAGAAAGTGATTGTTACTGGCGCCGTTGCACCCCCCTTCTTGTGCTTCGTTTCTCAAGCTGTGCTCTCGAGGAGCTCTTCGGTCACCCATGTTTCGCAAACAACTCATCGTTGTCCAAGCATAAAAAACAGAGCATAGACCAACAGTAGCGGGGATTGTTAATTTTAACGCGTTGCTTAAAAGCCACCACCACGTTACTACCACATTTGGCCTGGGGATGCTCAAGCCAAACACACGCAACGCGAGATAAGGTTCATTAAAAGACCCGAGCGTGCCCGTGCAACAACAGTTTCAAGACCCGAGTGACTCGTATCTTACGCGTCGGGAGGCAGCCACGAGCCAGCATAGATAATCTCAAAGGGCCAAGGGTTAATTTCGGGAAAACAGATCGCAGTAGCTTAGGGATGGGGGGTGCAAAATAGCGCATTAAAGTGCCGGGAGGGCGCTGAGCCAGCAGCATCGCGACGGCGTCGTCGCAGGGGCTTGTTTCGCGATAAATCGCATCCGGCCCAGAGTGTAAACAGCCGCAGAGGCCCCGACGCGTGGTTGCCGGAGCCCCACATCTTTCACTTTGTACCTCGTTCCGCCTTCCCATCTCCTCGAAATTTTTTCTCGGTCGATGTATTTTTTTTTCTTTTTTTTTTTTTTTACGAAATAAAGGAAGGAAAACTCCCAACTTTTACGACACGAGAAGGCATTCGTAAAATCGTGGTGCACACGGTTTGTGAAT